GTGGTAAAGAACCCACCTATCAATGCAGGAGATGTAAGAGACAAGGGTTCAATCCCCGGGACGAACCCCTGGAGGAAGGCATGGCAACCCATTCCAATAATCTTGCCTGGAGAAGCCTCATGGGCTTCTTCCATAGGGTCACAAAGAATCGGACACTACTGAAGCAACTTAGCATGCATGCACATACTCCAGTATAAAATATAAAAAAATTTTAAAACATGTACTGCATATAGTTCTATGAGTCTCAACAAATGTATGTAGTCATGCAACCACCACCACAATGAAGACACCAAACAGTTCCGTCATCCCCTCAAATTCTCCAGTGTTCTTTGTAGTCAACCTCTGCCCCTAGCCCCAGGCCCTGAAACCAATTCTTCAGCTTTTTCATCTCTGTAGCTTTGCCTTTTCCAAAATGCCATGTAAATGGAATCATAAAGTCCATAGTCCCCAAGGTCTGCTTCTTTCACTTAGCACAGTGCACTGAAGATTTGTCTGTGTTATTGTCTGTACAAACAGTTCATTTCCATGGCTGAATAGTGAGAATCCACTGTAAGAGGCGTAACAGTTTGTCTAACCATCCAGCAATCCAAGGATATTTGGTTTTTTTCCAGTCTGGGGCCATTATGAATAATGCTATGTTAAATATTTGCATACAGTCTTTTGTGTGGACCTAAGTTTTCATTTCTCCTGGTAAATACCCAAGTGTGAGATTGCTGGGTCACAAGTGTATGGTTAGCTTTACACTAAACTGCCAAATGTTTCCAAAGTGGGCTGTACCGTTTTGCATTCCCACCAGCAATGAATGAGTTCCAGTTGCTCCACATCCTCCCAGTCCTTAGGATCATCAGTGTTTTTGTTTTTTTAGTGTGTTTTTTGTTTTGTGTGTGTGTGTGTGTGTTTTATTTTTATGTTAGACATTCTAAAAGTTATGTAGCGGTTTCTCATTATGATTTAATTTAGTGATTAATGATGCTAAACACCTTTCCATGTGTTTACTTGCAATCTATATTTCTTCTGTAGTAAAATGTGTGTTCAAATATTTGCCCATTTTAAAAATTGGATTGTTTTTTGTTATCAAGTTTTGAGAGTTTTTTTTAATATATTCTAGATATAAGTCCTCTATCAGATACATGTTTTATAAACATTTTCTCCCAGTCTGTGGCCTGTCTTTTCATTTTCTTAACAGTATCATTATGAGTTTATTATGCTTTTGGTGTCTTATATAAGAAATCATTGCCTGAAGACAAATCACAAAGATTTTCTCCCATATTTTCTTCTATAATACTTTTAGAGTTTTTTTTTTCTTTTATGCTTTTGCTTCTGTTTTTTTTTTATCCTTTTATGTTTTACATTCAGGCCTATGATTTATTTTGACTTATAGGCTAAGGTTCTTTTTTTTCTTCATTTTGCATATGAATGTCCATTTTCCATTGAATTCCCCTAGCACTTTGTCAAGAATTAACTATGTATGTGTGCACTCCTTCTTGTGTTCTGCTGTTATGAATGTCCATCCTTTCTCCAGTTTTACTTACTATCTTGATTACTCTAGCTTAATAGTGATTCTTAAAATCAAGGAGTGTGAATCCACCCAGTTGCACTGTTTTCCTACTAGGCCCTCCTCTTTCCTACGGTCTTTCAGGTCAGGAGGCAGAGGCTGAACAAAGCCCCAAGGCCCTGATATGGCCTTGCCGGTCCTGTGATGCAATCCCACTGGCTCATCTCCTATTACACTGCCTGTAGGAATGATGACGCACTTATGTTCTCTGCTTTCATCCAGCAACGTCAGACCTCCCCGTCCTTACCTGCACTGTAACCTCTGCCTGGAGGCCCTGCCTCTGTCCGCACCCCACCCCTTTCTCTTCTGATTAACTCGGCTCATCCTCCAGCTTGGATCATCATGCTCCATTAAGGCATGATCACCTTCGGGACAGCTTCGCTGACTTGCTGGCTGGCAGAGTGAGAGCCCCACTCATTGTTTCCCTGCTCTCACCCCCAAGTCTCCCTCTTTCCCACAGTCAGTCAATAGACATCTGGCTGTGTCTTCGTCTGCCGCCCACACCCCAGGGTACAGAACATGTCTACTTTGGCGGCTCCTCCCGGCGCCCAGCCCAGAGTCTGGCACAATGTTGGTGCCAACACATGGCTCTCAAATGAAGAGAATCAGTGGTACTTTCCTCAGGCCTCCATGTGGGTGACAGTGGAAGATGCCAAGCTCACGGCTCACCCTAAAGAGTCTTCTCCTCCTCTTCGCTGGGGTTCTTGTCAAAGCCCTCAGGAGCCTCAGCTGGCAGAGAAGGAAGTTCAGACATTCTGGCTCCTGAAAGAAAAGGAATTTCTCCTCAAGAATCGGGGTCTCATTAGGAATATCCAGGGGAACCAGGACTGCCTCCTCGAAAGGCTCATAAGCAATTCAACATAGTGGCTGGAGTGTGGACGGAAGCCAATCACCCAGGTCTCAATTCAGAGTACCTGAACCCATGGCTGCCTTTCAACTAGGACAAGTTACTTCCCTTCTCTGTGCCTTAGTTTCCTCATCTGTAAAATAGGAACAATCAAAGTACCTCTTCTTTGGGTTGCTGTAAGGGTTCAATGAGTCAATATATGTATAGATAAATACAGCTGCATATTTAAATATATGTTGTTGTTCAGTCATCTCCCAGCCATGTCTGACTCGTTGTGACCCCATGGACTGCAGCATGCCAGGCCTCCCTGTTCCTCACCATCTCCCAGAAGTTTGCCCAGGTTCATGTTCATTGCATCTGTGATGCTGTCCAGCCATCTCATCCTCTGACACCCTCTCTCCTTCTGCTCTTGATCTTTCCCAGCATCAGAGTCTTTTCCAATGAGTCGCCTATTCACATCAGATGACCAAAATACTGGAGCTTCAGCTTCAGCATCAGTCCTTCCAGTGAATACTCAAGGTTGATCTCCCTTAAGATTGACTGGTTTGATCTCTATGCTGTCCAAGGGACTTGCAGGAATCTTCTCCTGCACTACAGTTTGGAGGCATCAATTCTTTGGCATTCTGCCTTCTTTACAGTCTAGCTCTCACAATTGCATGTGACCACTGGGAAGACCATAGTCTTGACTATATGGACCCTTGTCGAAGAGTAATGTCTCTGTTTTTCGACAACTGTCTAGGTTTGCCATTGCTTTCCTGCCAAGAAGCAATCGTCTTCTGATTTCATGGCTGCAGTCACTGTCTGCAGTGATTTTGGAGCCCAAGAAGAGGAAATCTGTCACTACTTCCACCTTTTCCCTCTTTATTTGCCATGCAATAATGGGTCCTGAATATTCATTGGAAGGACTGATGCTGAAGCTGAAGCTCCAATACTTTGGCCACCTGATCCAAAGAACTGACTCATTGGAAAAGACCCTGATGCTGGGAAAGATTGAAGGCCAGAGGAGAAGGGGATGATAGAGGATGAGAGATGATTGGATGACCTCACTGACACAATGGATATAAGTTTTAGCAAGCTCCGGGAGTTGGTGACGGATAGCCTGGCGTGCTGCAATCCGTGGGGTCGCAAAGAGTCGGACACAACTGAGCAACCAAACTGAACTGAACTGAACTGAATGGGGCCAGTTGCCATGATCTTAGTTTCTTTAATGCTCAGTCTTAAGCCAGCTTTTTACTCTCCTCCTTCACCCTCATCAAGAGGCTCTTTAGTTCCTCTTCACTTTCTGCCATTAGAGTGGTATCATCTGCATATCTGACTTAAATACATACTTACTATAATAAATAGAGGAATTCCCAGGTGGTGCTAGTGGTAAAGAACCCACCTGCCAATGCCAGAGACATAAGAGACACAGGTTCAATCCCTGGGTCAGGGAGATCCCCTGGAGGAGGGCGTGGCAACCCACTCCAGTATTCTTGCCTGGATAATCCTGTGGACAGAGGAGCCTGGTGGGCTACAGTCTATAGGGTTTCAAAGAGTCAGACACGACTGAAGTGACTTAGCACGCACGCATGCATAATAAATAGAACAAATTCCCAATAAAGTTGGATTATTATCATCATTTAGGTGGACCCTTGAGTCTACAGCTGTCAAGAAAACATGTGAGCACAGCTTCTTCCCCTACTGGTAAGCCCACCTTGGGCAGAGGTCAAGGCCGTCACCTCCCTACTCTAGCACTGCTGCTCTCAGGAGGCACATGGTGGAGAATAAGCTGGCAGTAGGGACAGACTAGCCCTGCCTCAGTGTTCCTGAGAACCCCTCAGAGGTCCAGCGCTGTGGGAACCCCTGCCCGATGAGGTCTAAGCTGGGTTTCAGACCCAGATGGCTTGGGGTCCTCAGACAGTGATGTGTCAGCTTCAAGTCCGGATCAACTGGACCATCTGCTGTGGGGGAGGAAGCTCACTTGCAAGGGGACCCCAGGGAGCAGAGCCCTGTTTGCCCATGAGGTTAGGTACCCCTGAAGGAGGGGGTCAAGAGAGCACCACTGACTTTATTCGAGGGCAGAGTTGAGAAAATATTTGAAGACGAGAGACATTGAGCTTCAGAGGGAGAAAACCTCGGTGCATCCAGCCTTCCTCCCTGATCTCAGGCCATATACCTGGCTGTGTGCTCTTACCCAAGGTGGGACATAACATTCACAGAAGCCCTAGACAATGCAACGGATCCTATTTTCAAAGAAGGGAAGAACCTCGGGTTCTTGGAGCAATTGCCCACCTCCTGCAGCCTCTCCCAACTGGGCCACTGGACATGGCCTGATGGCAGCCCAGAGAAGGACGCCGTCCTCCTTCTTGCCCCATCGGTCCTGGCTGGGTGGCCTGCTTCCTTGGGCCCCTCTCCTCCCAGGACTGCCTCCCCAGGCTCTGCGGAGCTGAGGGGTGGGAAACAGGGGGTCAGGCCGCTGCCAAACACGGCGCCTTGAAGCACCGGGCGGTGAGGAGTGGGTGGACAGCGCCTTTGCCAGAGCTTCGGGGAGGAGGGCAGGGCATTCTTTTGAGTCCATTCAGTCGCTCAGCTATTTCCTGCCCTGTTCCAGCACCCAGCATGCTCCACCTGCTCTTACTTAACCATTTCCTGTTTACCGCCTGCCTTCTGCAGCCTCCAAGCTCCCGGGCAGCAGCCAGCAGCCCAGAGCTCCCCGGATGGGAGCCTGACTGCCTGGACACGCTGGATGGCTGCTCTCTGGGTAGGGGGCGGCACCCCGGTCCTTCCCTTCAGACGACTTAATCAATCCCAGAGCTAGATAGCACAACCCACCTTCCCCAGGGTTAGGACGTGAGCCTGGGTGGAGAAAGAGGATGCTTCCCGGGCTGAGGATGACTGTAGTGTTAGTCATCCCTGCACAAGAATCAGCATTGTCCTCTAGTAGCCTCTTCTTTAGTAGGGCACCCCCCTTCCCCATGGTTACTTGCCCAAAGATTCACTCCCACCCACCCTTACCCATACCCACTGACACAGTTCAGACAGATACAAGAGCACCGATGTTCCCTTTCACTCAAAAGGTTCCTCTGTGACACCAACTTCCTGCAGGAGAAATTGTCGGGGGTGTTCTATTAATAATTACAGATTTGGGGGCAAAGACTTGGTTCCATTGTCAGCACCACCCCTTCCTACCTCTCTATCTTGGGCAATTTAAGAAACTCATCTGGACCTCAGCTGGGTTTGTTTTCTTTTTTCTCAAGGAGTAATAATATAATAATATTACCCATCTGATAGGGCTGTTGTGACAATGATATCATATCGTCATATGTGAAAGTTCCCGGTACAAAATAAGCAATTGATTCATGGTATTGACTACTATTAAATACTATTTTATGGCTCAGATGGTAAAGAATCTTCCAGCAATGCGGGAGACCTGGGTTCAATCCCTGGGTTGGGAAGATCCCCTGTAGAAAGGCATGGCAACCCACTCCAGTATTCTTGCCTGGAGAATCCCCACGGACAGAGGAGCCTGGTGGGCTACAGTACACAGGGTCACAAACAGTTGGACACAACTGATCGACTAAGCACATATACAGATAAAAGAAAAAAGTATTCCTTTATATATAGTGTTTCCTGAAAAACAGTAAGAAATCCCTTGTTTCCTTGCCCCTCTGAAACTCTGGGCTGACATGGAATAAAATAAAAGAAGGTAAGAGGTTTTCTCAGCATTGAAGACCTTGCCCCTAGCCCCAGATTTGGAGGCACGGATAGAGATGAGCAGCGAGGAACAGGCCCGGTCCTGAAGGGAGAACTGTGACTCCTCCTGAGGACCCAAAGGGTGAGAAGGCTGCAGAAGCGCCATCATCCCCGGACTCATGGAAGCCCACGTGAGTTCGCCTCTTAACACGAGGCCCCCCACATCAGCTGCTCCAGCCTCTTCTCTCTTCTTTCTTAACTGTGGCACTGTTGACACTTGGTCCAGATTAATCCTCTATTGTTGGGAGAGGAGGGGTGTTCTGTGCATTGTCAGATAAGTTTAGCAGCATCTCCGACTTCTGCACAATGAACTCCACTAGCGATCCCCTTCCCCTGCCAGTTGTGACAATGCAAAATACCTCTAGACATTGCCAAGTGCCCCAGATTTGGGGGCAGGATGGAGAATCACCTCCCTGCCTCCAGGGAGAACCGCTGCTCTAAAGAAAGGCTATGGGCACAGAGAGGGGCCCCCTGATCTTCCACGAGTCCATCCCCCATCTCCCTGCATCCTCCTGAGCCTTCCTCCCCCTCCCCTCATCCCCACCCAAGGCCTGGCTGGGCTGTCTCCCCAAACATTCATCGGAAGAAGCAATGCCAATGCCCTGGCAAATGCACCACCCGAAGTCGGCCTCAAAGCACAGGCAGCCTGCTGCATCTCGGGAAAGCTGCCTGTGGCAATTAGCAGATGGCCTGACTCAGCAAGAATGGCCAGCTCTGGGCCAGGGAGCGGTCAGTGGAGGAGTCTGGGGGCAAGCAGAGGAATCCAGTGCCTCAGAGATGAGCCAGGAATGCAGAGAGCGTGAGGCTGAGGCAGGGCCAGGAGGTGTGCATGGGCAATGACCTGGGCACTTTCTGCTTGGTCAGGAGCCCACCCCTGGGGAGGCCCCTGAGAGCTGACAGGGAGCTCAGAGCTCCAGCCAGCAGGCACTGCCTTCCCAGGACCCTGAAAGTCCTGCCAGGCTGGACCCCAAACATTCAGAGGACCCAGCCACTTCTGGAGCCTCACAGGGGGATAGGGCCCAAAGCTCCCAGTGCAACAGGTGTTATAAGTTACAGCAAGGAGAAAAGAAGGAGGAAATCAGCAGGCTTCTCAGAGGAGGTGACTGTGGAGCCGGTTTTGTCAGATGAGAAGAAGTTCACCAGGCAGAGAAGCCAATGGAGGACAGACATTCCAGGAAAGGGTGCCCAGACCGGGGCCACCCAAAGAACAGGGGAAGGGGGCAGATCTGTGGGGCTGGGGTCAGCCCCCTGGTGGGCAGCACAATTTAACCTTTGGGCCATGCAGTGGGGGTGGGGTGAGTCTGTGAGTCTCTCCCCCCCGAGAGTGGCCATGTCAAGAAGGAACTATTTGACTTGGCCTCCTTCCTGCCCCACCTCACCAGTGAAGTTCAGCTCACCCTGAGGCCAAAGTCAAGCTCTCCTGGTGTGAGGGAGGTGGCCATTGTTTCTGCAGGGAACCAACCCCAAGTATCCCTGGCATTGATCAGTTACCTGGGGAAGACCCCGAGGACTACCCCCTTTGCCCTGCCCAGAAAGAGGATAAGGTAGCATCATCACCTGATCCAAGAGCAGGGACAGGAGGCAGGAGGGGAATGTTGGGCGCCTCGCTGTCACTGAGCACTGATCTCGCCCTGTGATCAGCGATGAGGTGGGAGAGGGGGTTAATATTCATCCCCACTATGCCCTGGCCCACCAGGGCAATCCCTTCCCCCCAGGCCATTCTGGAAAGCCACCCCTGCTGTTAAGACCAGCCCTCCATCGCCCCAGGTCAGGGAGAAGATCAGAGAGATCCAGGGTACCCAGGACCCAGCCCCTCCCTGCCCTTCCTCATGGGTCTGTCCCATCCCGCCCAGTCCCAGGAAAGGGCTGGAACCGTTTTCATTTCCAGCATGTCTGGGCCTCTCCTTCTTGCCCTGGTAACTCTTCTGGGAAAACCTAGAACAGCTGGTCGGGCTTTTTGGGACTGGCAATCTCACGTGCTGCTGAAATACCTTATTTTCGAGGACCTCAAAACCTCTTACAAGAAATAGGGGTTGTGCCAGCTATTGGAGAAGCCAGAGAAGGGGATCACATGGCAAGCGGGTGGCACCTTTGAGTGGAATGGATGCTTGAAAAGACTGGCTCCCAGGGAAGAAGAACCACAGAATCCAAAAGCTGAAATTGCATCTCTAATAAAAATTGTTTGAGGTTAAAGCAGGAGTTGCCTTTGTATGGAAATCTATACAAACTCTAATAAGCACACAGTGAGGGGTGTGTATGTATGTGTGTCTGTGCGTGTCTGTGTCTATATGTGTGTCTGTGCGTGTCTGTGTCTCTGTGTGTGTATCTATCTATATGTGTGTCTCTGTGTATCTCTGTCTCTGTGTGTGTGTGTGTGTGTCTGTATATCTGTGTGTGTGTGTCTGTGTGCATGTTGCAGAGAGCAAGTAGAACAGATCTCACTCTGCCTCCGACAGTCTTTCTAAGATGACAGACTACTGACGGTCCTCTAACATGAGAATCTCCCCTCCAAGACCCTGCACCAAGGGTGCCTTCTCCTCCTCTGCACCCAGCAAGGCCCAGATCCCCCACTTGATAGAAGACAGCCACTTTATGCCTCCTGTCCTCTGGATGGTCACCTGTACATCCTACCTAAGGGACTAGGCCATTATTTTGTGATGTCCTTCTGATCATTCTTCCCTTCCCACAGACCCCTGCCACCTCATGCTTAGCTCCCCACCCCACTGACCATTCTCACCAGTCTTACACGCCATCACCAGATTAACCATTCTAAAATGCTGCTTTGATTGGTTACACATCCTTATCCAAAACATATGGCCCAAAATCCTACCAAGGTCCTCAAGACCCTCCACAGGTTGATCTTCCACCTCTGGTCCTTCCCAGCATGAAGTCTCTTCAGGTATTTCACCGTCTGTTCATCATCACCCTGTGTGCCTCAAGCCGTTCTCCCTCTCTGCCCTCCTAGATCCTTCCCACTCAACTTCAGGAACCAGCTCTGCCAGGAAGCCTTTCCAGCACAAACCCCCTTCCACTGAGTCTGTTACCCAACAGATCGCATCCAAAACTGTTCTTTCCCCAAAGTACTTATCTGTACTTCTCACTCTGTCCTTATTAACACACTGCCTAGGTTGTGAGCTGTCTTTTTAGAGAGATTGGGTTGCCAGATTTAGCAAATAAAAATTCAGGACTGTCAGTTAAATTTGAATCGAAAAATAAACAACAACAAAATTTTTGAGTCTAAGTGTATTCCATGTATTTTAGAACATACTGACACTAAAAATTTTGTGTTGTTTATCTGAAATTCAAATTTAACTGAGTATCCTGTATTTTCTCTGGCAACCCAACAAAGAAAGCACAAACCCTTGTCTGGTACTTTCCACCTCCCTTGGTGTTTGACACTCAGAGACATTCTTCAGGATCTGTATTGTTGATTGATTCCTTTTATATTCAGTAGAGAATTGTTGGCTTTCATCTGCTGTTGGCCTCAAGACCCAGAGTCTGTTTAAATGCCTTTGGTCCAATCTAACATCTGTAGCAAGCACAAAGCATGACACCTATGAGGATACCTCTTCCTCTTCTTCGCTTTAAACACTTATCCTGAAATTTGCAGCGGATGGGCCCCAGGTGATAAAATAGTGTATTTCTTGCTCACCAAAGGAGGCAGAAGCTATGGAACCAACATGCCTGGTTTTAGAGCATAGTGGCTGCAGAACCTCGAACAACAAGTTAGCATCTGTGAACCAGGGATAATAATACTGCCTACCTCAGAGGGTTGCAGTAGGAGTTAAATGAGATGATGCATGGAAATTGACAAGTACTCTTAAGTGGAAGGCACTCAGTGAACGTGAGCTGACATTGTCAGTGGTTAACTGAGGCTGCATGTGGCTGCTGGCATCAACACAATCTCCTTTCACAAGCAGCTAAACTGTCAGGGTGAAACCCACAAGGGAAGTCATGTGTAAATGGGCACAAGTAACAGAAGTGAGGCAGTCACAGAGGGGGTCACCC